AAGTTTGCTTTGTTTTGCAAATAAAACTTACAATAGAGCAATAAGAGCATGAAAGGAAGTTTGGCTTTGAACTCAAGCCAAACTCAAGTATAATTCCTTGTACTTACTTTGCTTATTTGCTTTAGTTTCCCCATCTGGGAAACAAAGATAATTCTGCCTGCCTGAGAGGTAGCTGCTAATAGGATTCAGTGTAGTGTTAATAATACCCACAGTATTGCATGTGAACACTGGCGATCCTTAATAAATGGCAAGTTAGTCTATTACAAGGAGAAAAAGAAAAAGAAAAAAAATGACAGAAACAGACACATTGGTTTGTCTTTTTCTTAAAATATACAAGTTCTGCACATGGAGTAGAAGCATTGACTTACCATTTTCTCCCACTGAAGAGGAAAAAATTACTTGTCTCTAGTAGGAAAATAGGACACAAGGATTTTCAGGGAAAGCAAGAAAGAAATGGATAATTTTCACCAGAAAAGAGGAAGAAGGTACCATGAAGTCTGACTTGATGCTCCTTACTGTCCCTCACAGATGAAAACAAATGAGTTATGTCAAAGCTTGAAAGCTGGGGACTTTCAGGAATTTTCCTTGCTCTCTATTTGGCATTCTAGGAGAGAGCCTTTCAGGTTAATCACAGCCCAATATAAAACTGTTGCAAAAAAATTTCATGGCACAACCGGTGCAGTAGTGCACGCCTGTAATCCCAGCAATCAGAGAGGCAGAGGCAGATGGATCTCTGTGAATTTCAGGCCAGCCTGGTCTACGAGACAAGTCTGGGACAGCCAAGGCTACACGGAGAAATACTGTCTCGAAAAACCAAAAGAAAAAAAATTCAGTGGCAGCATGGTGTGAACAGACTGAGGAAAACTTTGTCAGGACTGGCCTTAAGCTCCTTGGCACTTGCACAACAGTCTCTGGTCTCCAGGTATTTCTTCATGAACAGCCTTCATGTCACTGAGATGAACCCAGAGTGGATACTGCAGAGCAAACCAGGCTAAGATGTAGCTAAGACATGAGGAACTTCAATGTTCAAGCAGGTTCTAGGTAGTGGAATCCAAGTCTTTTGAGCAGTCTTTGGCATCAGGGCTCATATAGATTGGCAAATTTCCTGTGGACAAGCCTTTTCTGAACAATAAGTGTGCTGCCCTGGGCCTCCTGACTCTTCCTGGAGCCCAGCACCACATATCCATCCCTCTTCAGCACTAGTTCATGTCAGCTTTTTTGTTGTCTGAAAGTTGAGGGTGTTAGAATGTGATGGTTAGTTTTGATTGTCAACTTGACAACATAGAATCACCTGGGAAGGGTCTAAATGAGATCATATTGGCCTGCAAACTGTCCTGGGTGCTTTAATTGATGTAGGAAGACCCAGCCTAAAAGGGGGCTGCAAGATTTCCTGGTTTTGGATCTTGGAATATATATATATATATATATGAAGAAGAGAAGAAGAAGAAGAAGAAGAAGAAGAAGAAGAAGAAGAAGAAGAAG